TTCAACACAGAAGTCATGGACTCAAAGTTCCAGAATGCAATGCAGCTATATGCTGCAGTCGCACTGAGTTTCGGCAGAGATTCGGCTCAGCTTATAAGTGATAAACGAGATGACGAGCGCGCGGGAGTTGATGGAGGTATTAGCATGAAAGTCAAAGCTTTGGATCCTGATCTGTTTGAACACAGTGTACAGATATGGTGTGAGAGAGCTGGACAGACTAAAGGATTAAAGCTCTGCTGCATCACTCTCTATAGGTAGAGATGAAACAAAGGCTAAATCCATCTGGTGTCAGTCAGCATGTACAATCAAGTGGTGGCATTGTGCATAATGTAGGAACCCGTTGTGCGTAATGTAGGAACCCGTTAACTGAAATTAAAACACCATGTTAATGAAAGACATTTAAACTAAAAAAAGTCAGACTCAGAATTTAATGACAAATTAAATCTTGGACACCACTGAAAATCATACTTTAAGTATAAACATCAATATGCAAGCCAATCAGGATGGAATTTTTCCACTGACATCTGTTAGAATTCTGTCATGTACTATACACTTGACCTGTTGCAGGTTATGGATTTTTCATTTGTAGGTAAAGTGGAAACTAGAGGTACATCTTTCTTTTTAACATTCAAACCCCATGGGGGATACAAACTTTTACACAATGGTATTGGATTTTTTTTAAGTCTACAATCGAAATGGATTCATTCAGCACTTACTCAGGATAGGATACATGAGCAGGATTTTGCGTCTGTAAATATCCGGAGGGAACTTTGCGTAGTATACTTTAGCTTTCAGCGTCTCTTCATCAGTCTGTATAAGAATCTTGCCGATGCGGATAGATCGGCAGCAGTCCCTCAGGCCTTGCTCCATCGCTTCACCTGGTTAGGGGCGACAGATACTACAGTGTCACGCTAAAATTCAAAAAACTGGTTTGTGTTTATATATCAAGCTACAACTGTGGAAATGTGAAATGTGACAGACCACTTCTCATTATACTGACGCCACAGTTGCCTCTTTTAAATTTGACACCTTCATACTTCTGTCCTGGAAATTAGAATGGAAAGGAATTATTAATGAAAACTGACATAGCAATGGGTATTTACGGCGGTCCGTAATCACAAAACACCTTAACAAACCAAAAACACAAGAGTAAATCAGAGAACATGACAACATTAAAGAGCAAATTTGGAAACACAAGAGAAAAACCACAAGAGCAGATCATAAACACAACAGCAAATCAAAAACACAAGTGCAAATCAAAAACACAACAGCAACTAAAAAAAAAACCACAACAGCAAATCCAAAATTACAACAGCAAATAAAAACACAACAGCAAATAAAAAAAACACATGAACCAATAAACACACACACACAAACAGAAAAAAAACAACAGCAAATAAAAAAAACCACATGAACACATAAAAACACACACACAAACAGAAAAAAACAACAGCAAATAAAAAAAAACACATGAACAAATAAAAACACACACACACAAACAGAAAAAACACAACAGCAAATAAAAAACACATGAACAAATAAACACACACACAAATAAAAAAACAACAGCAAATAAAAAAAAACACATGAACAAATAAAAACACACACACAAACAGAAAAAACAAAAACACAACAGCAAATAAAAAACACATGAACAAATAAACACACACACAAACAGAAAAAACAAAAACACAACAGCAAATAAAAACACATGAACAAATAAAAAAAAGCACACACACAACAGAAAAACCAAAAACACAACAGCAAAACCAAAATTACAGCAGCAAATGAAAAAAAAAAAAAACACAACAGCAAATTAAAACACAAGAGCAAATAAAAAACGCTTGTTACGTATGTAACTGTGGTTCTGTGAATTCCGGATGACCGCCAGAGGCGGTGCTAAGCACCAATGGATAATCGCTGCGCCAGCTAGATAGGTCGAGAAGGAAATACCAACAGAGTCACGTCATGACGTAGAGCGAGATGCGAGGATATAAACCACAGCAGCTCGATGCCCAGCCTCGGAATGCTTTCTCGCGCATTCCGAATGACGAGGAACTCTGGCGGTCATCCAGAATTCACAGAACCACAGTTACATACGTAACAAGCGTTCTGTTTCATTCCTCCTGACCGCCAGAGGCGGTGCTAAGCACTAATGGATGACACATACCAACACAGTCATGAGGAATGCCACCCACCTGCATCAAGGATGCTCCAGAAGGACTGCAGAACTCACATTATGGGAAGCAGCCACATTGACCTTGTAGAAACGCGCAAAGGTACATGGAGAGGACCAGGTAGCAGCTGCACAGACCTCCGCCAAGGAAACTCCCCGTAAAGTGGCCCAAGATGAAGAGACAGCCCTGGTAGAGTGACAAGTGATACCCACTGGTAAAGGTTGGGTAGAATGACTATACGCCAGCTTTATCACCTCGACAATCCAGCGTGCTAGTCTTTGCTTAGACAAAGGAGCACCCTTGCGTACCTCACCATAACAGACAAATAACTGATCCGTCTGTCTGAAAGAAG